CCAACAGAAATAACCACTGAGCACTGAGCCGGGGCTAATCGTCATGGTGACGCGGCTCATTTGGCATGACCCCCTCCTGGAATGGAACTGCTGATAGTTACCGCGTGCCGCAATTCGGTCACCGTTGGGCCGCTCGGTTGGGTTTAGGACACATTGAGCTCTCGCTGTCCCAAGGCCCACGTTTGGTAAATGTGTCCTCTTCCTGTCTTCCAAATACACTCTGAATGGACTCCTATCATTTATATTTGGACTTTTTTGTCCATAAGAATCACCCCCAAACCAGCAGATAATTATGAGTATGATTTCAAGCAGATACATTCAACTTTTCGACTGATACTGTCTTTGTATACACATTATATATGTTTATATTATATATAATATATTTGATTTATATTTATAAAGCAGTATACTATTTATAGAAGTCCCCTTCTTGTGCTTAAAGTTCAATATATACCTGGGTAAGTCGTTGGAAGATGGATGGATCGATGTATATGTTCGATAAATGTTGGTTGTATGGGTTATTAATCTGGCAGCAATAGGTACTGGTCGTAATCTTCTCAGCTTAGAGGTTGGACAGCGATGACAATCAGACTCCTGCTGACACTGCGGCACCCAGGCTCTCTCTCAGTAGTGGTGTGAGTCACCTGATGTACACGTGTTTGTTAATATAGCTACACAAGAGAGCGGCTTTGACTGTGTGTGCTCCTCGCTTCTGATTGTGTTAGGAGAAAATATAAGTTCGACGTGTCGGGTTTGCGTTCTAACGTACCACCGATTCATCTGGTCTTCTGGCCTTCCTGGAAGTGGCTGTGGCAGGTTTCTGAATACACACTCATGTCTGTCTATACCTAGTTGTTGGGGCATGCTACATAGTGATGTAGTCGGTAAGCCATGGTGGGGGGGGGGGGTAGTAGTTTAAAACACCCCATCACTCATCTCATCTTCTGTTCTTTGTTCACCAGCTTCAGGAGACGGTGAAGAGGAAGCTGGACAGTGCTCGCTCACCTCTAAATGGTGACCAGAATGGCATCTGCGATGGGAACTTCTCGCCCAGCACAAAGAGACTTCGTAAGGAGGCGCCAAGTGGGGGTTTGGATTCATTGGTGCCACCTGTGTCACCCCTCCACCCAATGGACATTAATCCTCCAATGGCCCCGGCCAATAGCACTAACAACGGGAGCAATCATGCCCCTGGGCGGCCCGATGACTTGGGAAAGAATGGGGGTCTGCCAGATGTCAAGCTGAATGGTTCCCTGGACCTAGATGATGGATTCACACTTTTCAAAGACATGAAACAGGAACCTCTTGACGACACTGCTGGCATCGAGTCCTCTGACACCTCCTTGTCCAATCAGAAGCTCTTCTCGGACATCAACCTCAACGACCAGGAGTGGCAGGAGCTCATCGACGAATTGGCCAACACAGTGCCGGAGGATGACATGCACGATTTGTTCAATGAGGACTTCGAGGAGAAGAAGGAGGTGGAATTTACACGGCCGGCAGTGCAGACGCCCCTTCCTCAAGACCCACCCCTAGCCCCGCCTTCCCAGAATAGTCAGATGTCTATGGGTTCCCCTCAAGTCCGACCCTCTTCCTCTGGCCCCCAATTCACCACAACAGCAAACGGTACCCCACCCCAGCAGTCTCCCGTGGTCGCCTTAGCCTCCGGCTCACCAGCTAATTGCACAACCCAGTCACCACAGACACCCACACAGGCACAAACGCAACCCTCCAGGCCTGGAAACGGATATCTCATGAACCCTGGCCCTGTGGTTGTACCTGGCTCTGCTCCCAGAACCGCTGGGACCCCAGGCCAAGGAGGGGGCGGTCCCGTCCCGGTGCCGACTTCAAGCTCCGAACTGACCCCGGCTGAGCAGCTGAAGCAGATGGCTGCCCAGCAGCAGCAGAGGGCGAAGCTCATCCAACAGAAACAGCAGCAGCAGCAGCAGACCCAAGCAGCTAGCTGGTCGCCCGCCAGGCCTCCCAGCAGTCCGTATGGTGGGCCATTCAATTCCGACAAACCAAATAGCCCCATGATGTACCCACAAGCCTTTAACACCCAGAATTCTGTGGTGCCTGCTATGGGGAACAACCCTCAGAAGGCCATGAGCAACTACCTCCCACAGAACCCCATGAACGTCATCAACCAACAGCCCAACAGCATGGGCCAAAGCACCATGAGCAAGCAGCAAGGGGGCGTTCTCTCCTATAGCAACACCAAGCCCCTGAGCCACTTCAACACCGTGGATCATATTAGCCAGAGGATGACCCTACCGGTAGCTAACCCTGGCAAGAACACCATGATGCCCTACATGCAGTCCCAGGTGGGGCAGAACACAGGGCAGGCCCAGGGGCAGGTGCCTGGCCAGGTGGTCCATCTGACTGAGGAGCAGAAGCGGATGTTGCTTTTAAAGCAGAAGGTGTTGAATCAGACCCTACCTTATAATTCCCTGCAGACCCATGGACAGGTGAGTACTCTGCTTCTCATAACACTCTTGAGGTGCTGCAAGTGGATCACGGGATAGTGTGGTTGGTTATAATCATTGTTTAAAGGCCTCTTGAGTATATGGGACCTTGTTTCCTACGTGTAAGGTTACGCCGTACGGCTGGTGGGTCTGTTTGGTTTTTCGGATTTTTCACGGAGCACATCGGTGAGAAAATAGCCCATTAAATAACTTATTTCTCCCGAGCATCCAGCTCGGGCACATGGTGTGAAGAAGAGTTTGTTGTATGTAGGTCACAGCTTTTCGGTGCGGAAGGGGCCCAGCAGTGGAGGCTCTTACCAAGATGAACGTGTCTCTTTGCACCTGCCTCGGGAGGCTTGGGCTTTGGATGGGGGGGCTGGTAGGTTGATGTTGAGAACTCTGTATCCCAATGTGTTTCTGGGATACCCTGTACTGCCCATCCCAGGCCATGCCCCGGGGTAGCAGCTGCAAGCCTGATCGCCTACCACCGTTGCCCAGTTACTCGTGTGTGTCCCAGTTTATGAGCCGACAGAGTTGCTAAGTGTTAATGTTTACTGGGGGTGGTTTTGCAACCGTCAGAGCCTAATAAAACAACCACTGGCTACTGATGGCCTTTAACCGACCAATCACATTTCTACATACAACTGCCCTCGGCTCTGTTTGTCCTACACTGAATACATCATTGTAGTTAATCCCATGTCGCGGGGCCATGTTTGGCGGTGAGAAAGGCTCACGACTCCATCCACATGGCAGCTAGTGACCAGACGGGTCCCTGAAGCTCATGGGTGCATACGTAACGACCGCTCTTCAGTCCAAATCGGGCGGTTGGCTGGTTCACCTGAAACATGTGCTATGTTCTAAAACGGGCAACGAGAATCTGTAGAGCCACCAGTGCCAGCAGTGTCTGGGCTGTGGCCCGTTCGGTCAGCTGATGGGCATCGGCCTTCCAACCCCTTTGAAGGAACATTTACACTGAGGCTCCTGACGGACATCTGCTGAGGAGGTCTACCGGTGCTTCTCTGCCTTTCCTACCATTCCCCAGCTCCGCTGAAGCTGCGGCTTGCGGCGAGACCTGCTTCCCGTCGGGCAGTCTGCCATGCTGCTGTTTGCGCATAGCGGCAGAGAACGTGCCCGTACGCCAACATGGAGGTTAAGGGGACAGACTGATCATTCGATGGGTGGGGCATCCAGCGGGGCAATACGGACAACGAGCTCCGAGCATCAGGGGTGACACAGGTTAATGCCAATGACAAATAAGACTTGTTTTTGTTGCCATTAAGTGTCTATGTGAGGGCTCTGTGTTTTCAGGCAGGACGGTTTCACCCGGAACAAGGACTGTATCTCTCTCACACATGCGCGCGCACACACAAACACACACTCGCTCCATCTGAAAGGGCGTCGGAGGGCCGTTCGGACAACAGGGAGGGCCGTAAGTCATATTGATTATCTGACCGGCTGCGGCTGCCGAGGGTGTCGTCGGCATTATTTATGAGCCTAGCAGGGATGGGGGGTGGGGGGGGGCGCTCTTCAGAAAGAGCAGCCTGAAGTGCTGTTTCACAGGTGGGGAAATGGAGCACGTTGCGTAATCCTATTAGCGTGCGATTATGAAACTGAAGCCTGCTTTTTAAAAGGTTGTTAGTCAAGGTTTAAATGTTACTGCTCACTTTGCATATCGCAGCGGCAGTAATTTATTCTCTGGTGGCTAGGAAGGCTGCATGGAAGCAGATTGAATGTTTTTTTTTTTCTTCCCCCCCACCCTCACCTCCCTCCCCAGCTAATGGATTTTGCAGAGGCGGTCCTCAGAGAGGTGATTGGTAGAAGTGGTTTGACGAGCGCCTAAGTGACCCTATTAGGGGAGTGATAGGATCATAAGGCGCACTGGCTCGGTGTCAGGCCCCTTAATGCAGAGGAGAGGCTCATCTGGGGCTGGCGTTCCCCTCCTTCCCCTGGGGCCGAAAGGCCACTGCGATAACCAGTGCCGTCTGTATATCCCCATAGCAGCTGCCTGACTCTCTAGGGCCCGAATCAGTGGCAGCACAGTGTGGAATGTGTGGACAGAGAGGAAGAGGGTGAAAGAAAGGAAAAGACAGAGGGACCTCCTTCCTCACCTAGTCCTCAGAGAGATGTAACCCCCCGCCTGCTTCAGCTCCCTCACTGCGCATTGGCACATGTGTCAAAGCTTGAGCTGAGCTCTCAGATCCTCTGGAGAGGCCTCGTGGGGGTGGGGGGGGGGGGGGCCTGTGCGGGGGGGCCCTGCGTTTAGAGGCCGACAGCACACCGGGGGTAACCGTGGGAATTACGAGCCCCCCCAGTTATGAAAACTGCAGAGCAAGATTTATTGATGCTGCTTTACAACCTGACCATTTGCTGTAATTGCTGTAACTGATGGTTATTAATATGCATATAAATACAGTGACTGTGTGTACCAGTTGCAGTGCTCATACAGTACTTATAATCTGTAATTCAGCAAAATGGTGAGAGGTGCATGCTGGGTAAGCAAGGGGATAGCTTAGAGGCAACTGTGGCTAGCCTCCAGCCCTCTGGGGGGGCACAGTCAGACTGTCCTGGACATGGTGCCACCCCTCAACTTTTACCAATGAATGTTGTGAGAGGAGAAAGTTAATGCTGATGCAACCCCCCACCGTTAATGGAAACATGCACTCCCATCTCACTGATGTTATTCTCCGAGAGAACACCTCCCCCATCCTGTTTTTTTTTTTTTTTTTTCGAATCCAATTCCTGGCAGCGAATTCCTGCTCCCGTCAATGTCGGATCGATAGTGGGTCTCCTGGCTCCGTTAACACTCTGCTGTGCATGCTTACGGCATAGTGAAAACAGCCTTTCCCGGTGTGTATCCGGCTTCTCCGCTGGCTTGGATTGAAGGGAGGGGGTGTTTATTATTAATATCGGTCCGTCAGAGAGCGACAGGACAATAACACAGCTTGTCCAGTTACTTGAGCAAACCAGTGCTTGAAAAAAATGTATCCATTTGGGGGGCTGATCGTTTATGATGCTTTCCAAGTATTCGTATGAAACTCGGTGGAAATATTCTGGAGGGACCGACACAGGATTTTTGGGAGTGTCTTGTGGGTGATGGGGTCATGGGGTCGCAGACAGGCACGACAGTGTTGACGTTAGTGAGCGGCGACTTCCTTTTCCACGCCGTGGCCGGCGGCGCCCCCACCGTCGCTACGGACAGATGGACGGCAGGTTAGCGATGAGTCGTCCATCTGCTCGTGGGCCCTTCAGGTTCCACCTCCTTCTGGAGTAGTGCACAGATGCACGACATCACGCCCTTTGACCTTTTTTTGAACGGGGGGGGGGGCTGTTAAAGCCTAGCGCACGTAAGACCCCCTCGCCCAACAGAGAGAATACACTAAGCCATTCGCTTCCACAAATAATCCCACAGTGCTCTCAGAGATTGGGCTGCTTATCGTTTGGCACATGTAAGTATCAGGGGGCGGGGCTCTGAGGGCAGGGGGTGTAGCCCAATTGCATTGTGGGCATCCAACCTGTTCCATCCATGTTAGAGAGCAAGAACTGTTACACTACGGCGCAGATAGGCCGGCCACGCACACGAGAGCATACGCACACACACAATCCTCGAGCACCGTAAAACTTTGGCTGTCTCAGTTGCTCTCAGTTGCCATGGATACCGTGGCCCACGGCACCTCGCTGCCTGAATCGATGGAGGCTCTACGAGAAGCCGGGTGGGGGGGGGTGTGGGGGGTCTCCGGTACTTAGGAAGATGTTGAGAGCGTGCCGCGATTCCTTGAAGGCTGGCAGCAAAGGGAAGTTAACTCTCCCAGACAGTGCTTTTCAGAATCGTTTTTTCCTCCCCCCCCCCAGACATATCACCATGCTAACATGCTAACGCTGCCTCCGACATGCTGTCACCTTCCTACAAAGTAGCAGGTTGTGACAAGATAACGGTTAATACGGCGGGTAGCAGCGAGGTGACGATTGACGCTGGTTTATTTAAAAGCATCCGTGTCTGAGAAGGGGTTGGTGGCGGCTTTGTGTCGGTTTCCTTTCTGTTTTCCCAGAATCCTTTGCGACCCGTGTCTGTCCGAGAGGCTTCCCTCCACTCCCCCGTGGATACTCAGTTACAGCTGGAAGGAGGACCACAGCATGTGTGTGCTGGGGGCGGCTCACGCTTTTGGCTGCGGCGGAGTCGTCTTTCCTGTGTGGTTGACTGAGACACCCTTGGACTGCCACCACACAGGAAGTGACACTCATGAAGATGGGGGGGGGCAATCCTGGCAGGTGATACTAATCCCCAGCTGCCCATTGGTCAGTTCATGGTCAACCCGTGATTCTAATAGCACTCTTGGGGGGGGGGGGGGACAGGCGGACTTCGCTGGGACTCTCACTAGTTTGTTTTGGATCCACTCCCTTTGGATCCACTGCTTCACCAAAAGGCAGAGCCGGTTAACAGACTGCTATCTGATTCCGTGCAGCTGTCTTTTGGTCCTCCGGGGTTCTAGACAGACCGAGAACATGCGAATCAGCTGACCTGGGTCGCATCGTGCTGCACGAGTCCCCGCAAGCTTCCCGTGGGAGACGGTGAGTGGCGAGGAGGGGGGGGGACATACACAGTCTGCATTTCGGATAAAATGGCCTAAGAAAAGGCTGGTGTTTGTCAGTGCTGGCAGGACACGTGGCGACGCGGTGCTGATGCTGAGAAAGGGACAGGTGAACAAAACACAGATACCATGATGTGGAACGTTTGCCAGGACGCTATGGAAACGATGATCAGGACTAATGCTCAGTTACAGGAGGCTGAGGGTACAGGAAGGGGAGGCAGGGGTGCTGTGGTGATCTGGGAAGTGGCCAGTGACCAATACAATGATCCTTGATGCCCAAGCTCTTCCTGGACCCTAGAAACTTCCAAACATGGCAACCCACACCACCATGCTAAGAGAGGCCCTTGGCTGATAAACCAGTTTTTTCCTCACACATAAAGGAATACTGACCAGGACCAGGGGAGCTACGCCATGCTA